CCGGTTGTGCCCCCGTCCCGCGCCGGGGACCAGCACCGGGATTGCACCCCTCGGCGTTGCTCCCGCGCCTCGCTCAGCCAGTGAGCGGGAACCGGTCTGTATGTGGGATCCGAACCCTCGGCGGGAGCGCCACCACGCTCCCGAGCGGCACACTATAGCAGTGCGCCACCGGGCCGGCCCTCATTACAATTTTTACAGACCATTTCTTTAAAAGTGGGAAGGGTCTTTGTCTTAAGGTAAATAATTTATTGTGAGCTACTCTGTCAGCACAAGAAAGGTGCTGGAGGGGCACAGTTGAAGACATACACCAATGAACAAAGAAGAAAACAAAACGGTAGCCACATTTTCTCAGTCGTGCCATTGAACTGGGATCTGTTATTTCCAAAAACTCTAGAAATTCAGAGAGTCAGAGAAGCAAGAGATAAAATGGTCATTTCAAGGAGAAACTCTTGTCTCTCGCCAATGCATGAAACCGTGAGAAGACAGCCCAGCTATCCATGCTCTGAATTGCCCAGAGAGTTCACGGGCTGGTGGGATCCTGCATTTCCACATTAAGCTGTGAAGAGATTTCAGAGTAGACTCCTGCAGGCACCTGCTGTCCTCAAATGTTGCTCCACAGTGTATTTGAAAGTAAAAGGGGACTTTAACCCTGTGAGAGAGAAAAGATAACTTCAGAGTCCACAGCAGGATTAATACCAATGCGATTCCAATGTCATATTTATAGGGGCATGGATCTTAAGAAAACAGAGAGAGATAAATGTAGCAACAAAGACTAGAAAGATAAACATTAAAATGTTCAAAGTGACTGTCCCTTAGAGTGGCAGGCAATGTCGGTAAACCCCCAAACCATTCCCAACCTCTTCATCCACGCTAGAAGCTAAAAAACCAAATAAATACTTGTTTTCTCAGATTCTTTTGCAACTATGAATGGTCATGTGATACGGTTCTGACTGATTAGGTGAAGAACCTGCTGAAGGGTTTCTGCGAAAGCTTTTGTTTTCTTTCAAAGAAGGAGTCATGAAAGGAGAGTTTGCTGCCTCTGCCCCAACCCTCTTCTTTCCTTAAACATAGTCGGGATGTCTGGAGCGGTGGCAATCCTCTTGCAACCATGAAAAACTTGATGAAAAGCCAACATGCTGATTGTGGAATGGAAAACTAAGGATGGCCTAGATTATTTTACAACGCCACAGAGCAACAGAATCATACCATCAACACCTAACTCTGGACTTCTATTCATGAGAGGAAGACCATCCCCTATGTAGTTAAGCAACTGAATTGTAATTACTTGGAGCTGAAAGTATTTCTAATTGTCATCCTCATGAGATGGGATAATTGGTAATTTCAATTTTCTTTGTGGTGGTTGCTTAACACAGTTTACTAAAATTTTTTTCCTAAGGTTTCAAAAATTTCTACAATTTCCTATACCTGTAATACCTTTGTCATTAAAAAATATAGTGGAGTGTGTTATTTTTAAAACTGTATTGTCAAAAGGACATGTCATCTAGCATTTGGACAATTGTTTCAGTATGGTGATTCCCGTGCCTCATTCTGAAATCACTGAACTTAACCTCAGTTTCCTCATAATAAAAATAGGACTAATGATATCTACCTGACCGGGCTTTTGCCGGACTTCACACTGAGTTTTCGCTCTGTCCTGGGCACTCTTCCAAACACTTTGCATACTAGCTTGTCTTATCTTTGGCATAGCTCCTCAGGATAAGTATTATCACTATCCCTGTTTTATCAGCAAGGAAACCAAGCTACTAATTTTTTGCTCATTTGACAAATATTAATCAAGGACGTACTGCATGCTAAGCAACATTGTAGGTGCTTGGAATGGATCAGTGAAAAAAATAAGACATTCCAGTGGATGAAGGAAGACCATAACTAATAAACAAAATAAATAAGCAATCATGGTGTGTTAGAAAGTAGAAAGTGCTATGAAAAGAAAAACAGGATAAGAAGGGAGAGAAAGCGTGAGTGCCTGGGTGGAAGAGTAGAAGGCAGCATTAAATAGAGTCATCAGATGAAACTCCGATGATAAGAAATGATTGGAACAAAGACCTGAAGGAGGTGAAGAGGTGAAGGGGTTGCGTTGTAGGTATCGGGACAAGAACATTCAAGCATTCAGCACACAAAGGTACCGGGGAGAAAGAGCCTGGCGTGCTTGAACCACCCTGATTAGGCCAGCGTGGGGACAGCAGAGTGAAACAAGGAGTTGACTCACGGAAGACAAGGTCAGGGAGAAAAGAGGGTCAGATGATACAAGTCTTTGTGGACCACAGGGAAAGCTTTGGCTTTTACCCTAAGTAAGGTGGGAGTCATGGAGGACTGTAGGCAGAGGAGGGACAGGACGAGACTTGGGTGCTCACAAGCGCCTTCCGGCTGCTACAGGAGAACAAACCAAAGTCGGGGAGAAAGTCTTCTTCTGGCAGACCCCTTAGGCTGTATTTCCATAATCCTGGAGAGAAGCCGTGGGACTTGGACCAGAGTGAAAGCAGTTAAGAATATGAGAAAGGGCCAGATTCTTGACACATTTTGAGGAAAGTCAACAGAATTTGTCTGACGGGCTACAGATGGAGGTTGAGGAGATCAGAGCCATGGATAACTCCTAGGCTCCACGCTGAGCAACAGAGGCACGGAGGACCCCTCTGTGGAGGGGGCAGGTGGAAAAGATCAGAAGGTCAGATTGGAACGTGTCACACCTGTGATATCTACTAGATGCCTAAGCGGAGGCATTTGGTAGGTGGTCGGTTCGGTTAAATGAGTCTAGGATTCAGGAGAGAGGCCTGGATGGCAGATTTAAAATTTTGGAGGTCATTGCAAATAGATGGTATTTATAGCCATATATTCCATGAGATCTATTATGTGAAGAAAATGTGTGCGTTAGTAGAAAATTATGCATTGTATAGAGGACACTGCTTTGCATTATCTGATTCTGATCTATGGGAGCTGTAATACAACTCTTAACTTTTAATAACTGACGCAGTGCAAAGTAATTCCATAGAAAAACCAGTTTTGCCTCCATTTGCACATTCATTTTAATATTCAATACTCCTTAAATTATTTATATATTTTATATATATTATATCTGTTATATGTAAACCTGTTATAAAATTTGTATATATATGTTATAAATTCCTGAAATTATATATATAAATCTGTTATGAACTTTATATATGGCAGTTTATATATATAAATATATATTTGTAAATGTATATTTAAGCATATATGTATGTATATGTGTGTATATATGTGTGTATGTGCATATGTGTGTGTACATGTTCTTTGTGTTCTCCTTTGAGAGCTTCCCTCATTAATTAATGAGTAGAATAAAATATACTCATTTTATATCTGCATAGGTCATGATTTTGTCTTTTCTTAAGTTGCACAGCTAGTAAGTGGCAAAGTTGAGATTTGAAACAGGAGCTTGGCTCCTGAACTCCCACTCTTAAACTGCACACTTTGTTCCATTTGCTAATTAAGGTGGACACACCTAGCTCCCAGTCACTACATGACACATAGTAGTGTTTAGTGTTGCTAAGCAGCAGAAATTCCTTCTGACAAGAATCTGCAGAAAGCACACAATCACTCACTGTTTTGGAAGTGGAAGGCATAGGTGATAGTAAGATCTCTGAAGTCTGGGACTTGGAACTGGGCTTGGTCTTCCTGGTGATCCACCTCCTGTATTCTTCTCGTACCTGGAGATGGAGACACATCACAGAAAGATGAGTCACTCCTAGGTGCTGGGAAATGGCCCTGGTACAGGCATGTCAGATGGAGTGATGGGGAGTAGGGAGAAGGAAAGGGCCTGGGGAGGGCAGCAACCACATACCTGGTGGTTGAGCAGACAGTGAATGAGGAAGATGAAGGCCCCTTGCAGGCTGTTGATGATGGTGAACAGATAGGCCATTATACCTGCCATGGATCCAATCTGAAAAATGCCCAACACCCAGGTGCAGCCTAAGATGAAGATCTGAGCAAAGGCCTTGAAGGTCAATAACCTGGGGGAGAAGATTTGCAGAGCATAAGGTTCTGGGACATGGCTACTGTCCTCATGGGCAACTGTGAGACACACCACCTGGATGGGGATAAATATAGGGTGGAGTCTCCAAGCCCAGATGCTAGGAAATCAAATCCGATAGCCATTTAAAAGGTAGTTGGCCTAGAGATATATATGGGTACAAAGACGTGTGGATAAATGTATTTAATGTAATTTTTCTATACTAATAAAAGGCTAGAAGAACCCACATGCCCAAAAATATGGGACACATTAAATGAATGGCAAAGCCATAGTATGAAATACCAAGGGCTGTCATCGAGATGGCTCAAAGAGGAGACTCATCCCTCCCACAAAAAGAAAAAATAAAAAAAGAAAGAAAACAATGAATAAACAACCACATTTCAACTAGAGTGTCTGAAAGATAGTGCTTGAATACAGCAGGGGATTCACAGACACTGTACAGATCACCAAGACTCGGGACAGCCACAGAGACAAGGAAATGAAATGCCCTGCCTCTGCCATTTTGTCTCCCCAAGTGAATCAGTTTGGAAACAGGTGGGATTTCCCCCTGTGAGGAAGAGGTAAGCAGAAGCCCTCCAGCAACCCCATTATCACCACAAATACCTGCAATTTTTGATGCATGAGAGTCCTATCTATGGTCCTCACCACCCTTAAGCCCAGTTCAGGGAACTCCCAGGGGTTTGCTTAGCTACATTGTGCCAGAGAAGGAGCCCAACACATTGTGTCTTCCCTGTGATCCAAGCTGCCGGTGCACGACACTATCTTGAAACCAGAGCCACTGACAGAGTGCAGCCTGCTCCAGGAACTATTTGTCACTGTATCTCCCCATCCCTGAGGCTCTGTTGTTATTCCACTGTACTTGCCAGCCGTGTGCCCCTCAGTGAGGGCCAGCCCATTGCCACATCACCAAGGAAGCAGGACTCAGCCTACCAGCTGACCATCCTTATACCTTCTCTGCACAGCTGACCTGCCCTTCCACACACACCCATCTAGGGGAGCAGTGGTCAGGCCAGAGGATCATTCACACAAACTCTTGCAGCCTAAGCCACTGAGGCACTTGAATACATTGCTGATGCTGACTATAGCTACAGAAACTGCACAGAGAGTACACTACTGCACTCACCCCAAATAAAAGCCAATGCTCCCTACCCAACCAATGCCCTAGAACACATCTGCAGAAGAAGGTCTTTCCCTACAAAGGCCACTCTATAAAACTGAAAAAAAGTGATCATCTACCAGATGCATAGATATCAACACAGGGAGACAAGAAATACAAAGAAACAACAAAATATGACACCACCAAAGAAACACAACAACTCTCCAGTAACTGATCCCAAAGAAATGAAAATTTACAAATTGCCTGAAAAGTAATCCAAAATAATGATCTTATGGAAACTCAGCAAACTACAGATAGATGATTTAACAAAATCAGGAAAACAATTTATAATCTGAATGAGAAAAACAAAGAGATAGATATAAAAAGTAACTAAACTGAAATCTAGGAGCTAAAGAATTCAATGAATGAAATAAAAAATACTGTTGAGAGCTTCAACAGAAGACTAGATCAAGCACAAGAAAGATTTCTGAACTTGAAGACAGGTCTTTTGAAATAACCCAGTCAGGGTGGGGTGTGTGTGTGTGTGTGTATATATGAAGACTAAGAAAGAGCAAATAGCGCCTATGGGACTTAGGGGACACCATCAAGAAAATAAATATTTGTGTTATGGGAGTTTGGGAGGGAAAAATAGACGTCTTTTGAAATAACCCAGTCAGGGTGGGGTGTGTGTGTGTGTGTGTATATATGAAGACTAAAAAAGAGCAAATAGCGCCTATGGGACTTAGGGGACACCATCAAGAAAATAAATATTTGTGTTATGGGAGTTTGGGAGGGAAAAATAGACGGAGAAAGTAAAAATGCTTACTTAGCAAAATAATAGCTAAAACATTCCAAGTCTTGGGAGAGAAATGGATATCCAAATATAAGAATTTCAAAGGACCCCTAATAGATTCAACCCAAAGAGGTCATCTTGAGGCAAACTATAATCATACTGTCAAAAGTCAAAGGTAAAGAAAGAATTCTAGAAGCAACATGAGAAAAGTGTCTAGTCACATATAAGAGAATCTCAATTAGACTATCAGCAGATTTCTCAGCAGAAAACTTTCAGGCCAGGTGAGAATGAAATAATATATTCAATGTGCTCAGAGAAAAAGAACAGCCAACATAGAATACCTAGAATATAGAAGCTATCCTTCAGAAATGAAAGAAAAATAAAACCCTTCCCAGACAAACTAAAGCTGAGGGAATTCATGACCATTAGATTAGCCCCACAAGAAATGCTAAAGGCAGAGCTTAAATTGAAAGTAAAAGTACAATAATCACTATCACAAAAACATGTGAAAGTATAAATCTCACTGGTAGAGGTAAATTCATTATCAAATTCAAAATACCCCATTAATGTAATGGTGGTATATAATTTTTCAAATCTCTGGTATAAAGACTAAAATTCAAAATTATAAAGATAACTATAGCTACATTAAGTGTTATGTATCACACAATGCAAAAAGATGTAAATTAAGGCAACAAAATTATAAATTTTTGGGGGGTGTAAAAGTCTATAGTGTTTGTATGCAACCAAAGTTAAGTTGTTGTCAGCCTAAAATAGTCTATTATAACTATAAGATTTTTTATGTAAGCTCCATTGTAACCACAAAGACAATGATTGCAGCAGATACTCAAATGAGGAGGAAAAAACCCCAAAGCTTATCATTACAGAAAACCACCAAACCGCAAAAGTAAACAATAAGAAATGTAGAAAGGAACAAAAGATATACAAAACAACCACAAAACAATTAACAAAATGATGGGAGTAAGTCCTTACCTATCGATAACAACCTTGAATGTGAATGGATTACGTTTCCCCATTGAAAGATATAGACTGGATGAATGGTTTAAAAAACAAGACTAAATTATATGCAACCTACAAGAAACTCACATCACTTGTAAGGACATATACTAACTGAACGTGAATGGATGGAAAATAGTATTCCATGCCAATAGAAACCAAAATACAGAAGGAGTAGCTATATTATATCAGATAAAATAGACATCAAGTCAAAAACTGTAAAAGAGACAAAGGCCATTATATAATGATAAATGGATCAGTTCAGCAAGAGGATATAACAATTGTAAATATATATGCACCCAACACGAGAGAAGTCAATACATAAAGCACATATTATTAGATCTAAAGGGAGAAATAGACAGCAATACAATAATAGTTGGATACATTAATGCCCCACATTCAGCAATATGCAGATCATCTGGTTTGAAAATCAACAAAGAAACATCAGATTTAAACTGCACTCTAGACCAAATAGATCTAAAAGACACTTACAGAATGTCCACCTAACAGATGTGGAATACACATTCTTCTGACCAGCACATGCAACTTTCTCTGGGTCAGGTCAAATGTTAGGACAGAAAACAAGTCTCAACATGTTTAAAAAAAATCAAAATCAGGGCCGGCCCGGTGGCGCACTGGATAGTGTGCCGCTTGGGATTGCGGTGGCGCCCCCGCTGAGGGTTCGGATCCCACATACAGACCGGTTCCCACTCACTGGCTGAGCGAGGTGCAGGCGCAACACCGAGGTTTGCGATCCCGTTGCCGGTCCCGGTCCGGTACGGGTGCGACACTGAGGGTTGCGATCCGTTTCCGGACACGAAAAAAGACAAAAAGGAAAAAAAAAACATCAAAATCATATCAAGTATCTTTTCTGACTAAAATGGAATGAAACTGGAAATTAGTAACAGGAGGAACTTTGGAAACTGTAAAAATACATGGAAATTAAACAATATCCTCTTGAACAATAAATGAGTCAATGAAGAAATTAGAAAGAAAATTTAAAAACTTCTGGAGACAAATGAAAACGGCAGTACAACATACCCAAACCTATGGGATATGGCAAAAGCAGTTCTAGAGAGAAGTTATAGCACATAACACCTACATCCAAATATTAGAAAGATCTCAAATAACCTATGATAGCACATCAAGGAACTAGAAAAACAAGGACAAACTAAGACCAAAATTAACAGAAGAAAAGAAATAATCAAGAAAACAGCAGAAACAAACTAAATAGGGACCAAAAAAAACCCAAAAATTCAACGCTAAGACCAAAATTAATAGAAGAAAAGAAATAATCAAGAAAACAGCAGAAACAAACTAAATAGGGACCAAAAAAACCCAAAAGTTCAACAAAACGAAGAGTTGATTTTTTGAGCAGATAAACTAAATAGACAAAACTTTAGCTAGACCAACTAAGAAAAAAGACAGAAGATTCAAATAAATCAAATTAGAAATGAGAAAAATAAAAAACATTACAACAGACACAACAGAAATTCAGAGGATCATTACAGACAATCAAGAAATGCTATACGCCAACAAATTGAAAATCTGACAGGAAATGAATAAACTTCTGGACACATAGAGCCTACCCACATTGAATCATGATGAAACAGAAAATCTGGATGGACCAATAACAAGTTACAAGACAGAATCAGTAATAAAAAGTTTTCCATAAAAGAAAAGCCCAGGACCTGATGGCTTCATTGCTGAATTTTACCCAACATTTAAAGCAGAACTAATACTAATCCTCTGCAAACTATGCAAAGAAATTTAAATTGCCAAGGAGGGAATTCTTCCAAACTCATTCTGTGAAGCTAGCGATACCCTGATATCAAAACCAGACAAGGACACAACTAAAAAAGAAAGCTGTAGGGCTATATGATGGACAGAGATGCAAAAATCCTCAACAAAATACCAGCAAACCAAATTCAATAGCACATTAAAAAGATCATTCACGTGTCTGTTGGCCATTCATATATCTTCCTTTGAGAAATGCCTATTTAGCTCCTTTGCCCATTTTTAACTGGCTGTTGGCCATTCATATATCTTCCTTTGAGAAATGCCTATTTAGCTCCTTTGCCCATTTTTAACTGGGTTACTTGCGTTTTTGCTGTAAAGTTGTTTCAGTTCCTTGTATATTCTGGATATTAATCATTTTTCAGATGTGTATTTTGCAAAAAATGCTCAACATCACTCAGCATTCGGGAAATGCAAATCAAAACCACGCTGAGACAGCATCTCACCCCAGTTAGGATGTCTAAAATCCAAAAGACTGTGAACAATAAATGCTGGTGAGGTTATGGAGAAAAAGGAACTCTCATACACTGCTGGCAGGACTGCAAAAGGGTGCAGCCTCTATGGAAAATGGTATGGAGGTTGCTCAGACAATTGCAGATAGATCTACCATATGACCCAGCTATCCCACTGCTGGGAATATACCCAGAGGAATGGAAATTATCGTGTTGAAGGTATACCTGTTCCCCAACGTTCATTGCAGCACTATTTACAATAGCTAAGAGTTGGAACCAGCCCAATGTCCATCATCAGATGAGTGGATACGGAAAATGTGGTACATCTACACAATGGAATACTACTCAGCTATAGAAAAGAATGAAATACTACCATTTGCAGCAACATGGATGGACCTAGAGAGAATTACATTAAGTGAAACAAGTCAGGCAC